GTAATTTTTCATTTCCATTTCTTCACTAACTATCGAACCATAAATCTTCATTTTCAGCACCAGCCTCACCATTTTTTCGACTTTGAGTTCTTATTGTTAGACCTCTTACATTCTAAATAGTTTCCGTGGTATGTACCATTCAATACAACAAAGCAAACTCCACAAAAAAGCTTTTGCATGTTTGCACGAAGTTTGACACAGATGAATTTTGGGGCCAAAATACAAAACATTTCAGATGCGCAAAAATTCTGAAAAGCATTGTTTTCCCGCCCAAAAAAATCTTGTGCATCTTCCACTTATTCAGTCAATCTCTCCAATAGACATTATTACCTGTCTATTGGTGTGTGAATCACTTTCTGTATTTTTTCATGGCTAGAATTCAAGAAAAATAATGCAAGTCAGATTTCAAACTTTGCCTTTACCTTTGTGTTCCTACAACATATATGTGATTTATAGCTTAGTTCACTCAAAGATATGGCCCTAAAGTCTCGCAGATTTCGTAACTCTAGAAAAATATCAATTTTGAGATTCATATATGATAAAAATCATGAGACAATCTGTACTCACTTTCCTCTTCCAATCTCACAACTTCCCCTAATTTCACGCGTATAAGGCGCGGGGGATTTATCTTCAAAATCGACCAGCCCAGACAAGCCAAGGGACTTTACAATCAAAGGACCCTATAACGTGCTGTGTATTGCTTAAGAGAATCGTGAGATGTAAGGATTTCTTTCTGGAATACAGTAGAGCGGCTGAGCGGCTCGCTTGAAAATTCGAAAAAGTGCGCCTTATACGCGTGAAATTAGGGTAATTCATTTTCACTGGGTGCATTCGAAACACACGATTCAAGCATTACTAACTCATGGCGAACGACGAATTAAAGCTAAGAATACATAAATCACATCATCTGCGCATTCTCAGTGGCTCGCTTGTGCTTTCGCGCACTTTCCCACGCCAAGCCAGCAAGTTAATTGAAAGCATAAATAATATATGACAATGACCTATGCCGACTTGTTCCATAATGCACGAATCAGCTAACTTCACTTAGTCATAACGCCGTAAGCCTACGAGGCTTTAATTATCTAGAGGATTGAAGATTTTCGTAGTGTTCTTGCGTTGCCGACAACATTTGCGAGCAAATAATTGCCATGGGAGACGCAAAACTTTTGAGAAATGCACTCTAATGTTGGCATTGCTTTAGTAAATGTTTTCACCACTGTTGCGAGGAAGGGCAAGAACATATACTAATCGAATTTAATTGATTTATTTAGGCATGCAGATTCTTCAATGTATTTTACATCACTTTCTTTGATGAACAACCAGATACTACTATTATGTGAAATGCTTAATTCAACACTCCAGAACCTCGATGCAAACGTTTAAATAATCCATCTGAGAATATTCCTGTGTTTAAAACACAAATTCGTTGCTTCTGTACTGCATACTTTTGTGAAGTATTAGGTTAACACATAAGTAATGCAACTTTTTACATAACTTTGTGTTTTTGAGCGTTGCGCATTCATTTTTTGGCAGTATGAGGATGCGAACTGCAAACGCACACATTTTTGTCGAATTTTACCATCTTATGTAAGGGTTACGGTAACTTTATGGTATAGTGGGAAGGATTTTGCTGAAACTTGGCCTATGGGGGTTATTTGACATGCTGATCACAAAAATGAGACCGTTTCGCATAAAAAGGCCTCCTCCGTAAGGTCAAGGAATGAATTTCATCTTAGCACAAATGAATATGATATTCGTGTTCATCTTATTGGACTGCCCTATTGTGCTAAGTTTTAGCGACTTCTGAAGTTTCGCAGTTTAGTTATTGACAGAATGCCCTCCATACTTGACGCATTTGTCTTGTTCTACTTCTCAAAGGCGTCTTCTAGCTACATGCTCCCTATGATTCCTTCTTGATGTGTTTGATTTGTTTTTATACGGTTTCATGTTTGCCAGAAAACCTCGATTTTCAAGGGTTTTCGAAAAATGCTTGTTTTTTCCACTACGTTATCAAAAATCAAAGTGTTTGCGCAGACTTGCAGCTAACGTTGCATTCTACATGGGACCAGAGAATGAGAGTGCTACATTGAATAATAAAAAAGTTATGCGAAAAATTGGAAAATTCATGCGCCAACCTAGTACATGAATTGCATTACCAGATTTTGACAAAGTGTCAAATTCTGCAATCTCAAACAGTGTCTCACCAAAATTGGTGTAGTGTGGATCTTCACATATTTTTCGTTGGAAGACCCCCTGGATATGCAATTTCCCCAAGTACGCTCGATTCGGGCCCATCTACGTCGAGAAATTTGCCCTCAAAGTGGCCCGCAAAGCGCTATTTGGCCCAACGCTCCCGGTTTGCCCCTTACGCGTTTCAACATGTCCCTCCACTTGGCGTCCACCTCCATGGTGTTGCTGCCACCTCGGCGAAGGCTAGGGTGGAAAGGCAAAACTCGTCCGCGTTACCTCCCGGGGCTTTCAAAAAAGGGGTTTTCGTGCACTTCACGCGATTTCAACGCATTGAGTTTAAACAGGGACGGAAAGACTTGCAATATGCAAAAATCTCGTCAAACAAATTTTGGTGTTAAACACTGCCTTTAAACAACTCAATACATCTTCCTTCGACAGAAGGATTCTCCTCTGGAAGTATCTACGCAACTCATTTCAGTAGAGCTGAACATTCACTAAGCACTCTGACACTTGTGAGATAATTTCTAACAAATCTGCCTTCTTTTAGAAACCTAAATCTCAAAAAGAAACCAACATTTTTTTCCGTTGGAAACACGATCGCCGAGAGAATCCGCAAACTTAAACCTCTTGAGAAAGCTTCAGCGGAAGGAGTTTTCAGATGTGCACTCAGTTTTAGGAAGCATAGCATCTACTTTTCTGTCTGCTTTTCAGCCAACCGGTCATCAAAAAGCAAGTATCCCTCAGAATTCGTGATGAATTGTACGAAAACTGCTTATCGTCTTCTTTTCTCGTATTTTCCCAAAGAACTCCATTATATGGATCTAAAAGAGCATTCAGGAAATCTCCGCATTAGAATTTTTATCTTCGCCATCTGCGAAATCCACCTGCATGGGGAATTACACTGATAATGCTCTCCCTTAATGTTATCCATTGGATTATTCTGGCAATCACTTCTTCAGGTATGCTTTTCCCTTGCTACTTTCTTTTCCACCTCACATATGATATAACTTTTATTCTTACAGTAGTACTACCTTTTCGACTTTCTCGACTGTAATGAAGCGTGCACAGCATTAAGATTCTAAGAAATGTTTCCCCTGGATGTCCCAAAGCAAAACCAAGCATTTCTTGTAAATTCGGTAAAAGCTCCCGGCACTTTCTTCTCCTTACAAAAAATTTACTTGGACTCTACAGCTTTGAATGAATTCGAACGTCAAAGTTACATCCTCCAGCAGAAGGCTTTTACCATATAGTACATTTTCTTTGGAATTGGGCAGCAGTTGATACTGCATTCATAGCGAGTATTCAAAGAGCGAAACTTTTGTGCAGATGGGCCAGCTGTTACTTTTTTTCTTTTGCTGCAGCTGCGCATCAAGTACTGTAGCGGTTTCGAAACAGTCTATCTTGCAAAATGTAAGCAGCATTATACGAAGACAGAAAGAAAGCAGATTTATTCTTGAATAATCTTTAGCCACCAGTGACTTTGCAAAACAATCGGGCATGGTTTCTGGTACACGAAATTTTTTTTTTGAAATCAACAAAAAAAACTGTAGGAATAATCTCGTTTTCAGTTGTGAGAGATGTTGGGCGATTTTTTATCTGATACTCATGTTATTGTAACATACCATTCAACCAGGCTCTATGTTTGAAATCATTGCAATTATATAAAACACTAATTTCCTTGGGAAGACTCGTGCGGCTCTCTGTCCCTGCTCCCTTCTTACAAACTGAAGAAGCGAGGGGAAAAGCTATGGTGACTCTCGTTCCTTTATTGCCTCCGGATACTGGCTATATTTAGAATATACCATAAAGAAATCCAGGGATCTCATCTATTTTGAGAAAATGCTTTACTTGGACTCTTCCACGATGTTTGCATAGAGATCAGTATTTGTCTAAAGCAGAACATAAACAACGATAACAAAATATTAGGTTGTCCCAAAAGTAAACCGTATTTCTGAAAAAATCAAATGGCTTTTGTTTTCCTGGCAGACTTGAGATACCATTTCATAGAGCGAAGCAAGCTTTAGAAAATGACCGCAAGAGATCCGTCTATGTCGTAATCCTGGTAAAGTTTGGAGCAAAAATCAAAAAAAATTTTTACCTGAAAATTCGATTTTGCGAAGAATAATCGTACGGAACTCAAACTTGGTCCTTATATAGTAGACAGATGGTAGTATTTAAAAATGCCTTTACATTTTTCGAGCTTAGAAAGCGAGAAAAAAGAGACAGTCTGAAAATGGCAAACTCCCCCCCCCCCCCCCCCCCCAACCCCTCCACATATGTCATTATATACTACAAGCCTTATTGAATATAATCTTAAAACTTTACCTCTATATGTGCTCGAATATAATCGAGAATCGAGAATTATAATCGAGAAATACCAAATTTTACATGAAAAACACGAAAAAAGTGACATTTTGGCATTTTGGGACCATCATTGTTTCTCAATTTTGAGCTCCAGAAAAAATCAATTCAAAACATTTTTTTGGTACTACTGTGTGTCACTATATAAGAACCAAGTTAAAAGTGCGTAGGAATTTTCTGGAAGGAGATCCGATTTTTAGGGTACCTGAAAAGTTTCAATTTTTGGATCTAAATTTTACGTGGATCGCGACTAGACGGCTTTTGGTGGTCATTGTGTAAAGCTTGCTTTGCTCTATCGAATGGTGCCCCAAGTCTGCCAGGGAAACAAATATAATTTGATTTATTTAGAGATACGGTTTACTTTTGGGACAACCTAATATAATAGTAAGAATAGAAAAGTAGGACACATCTGTCCCAGTTCTTTTGCCACATGAAATATAACCGAATGTATGTCAGCAAAACTTTACAGTACTGGTAAGTGCTGCTAGTAATGCTGATTTTTCTCCAAACTCGCAGCATTTTAACGCTAGAAAAGCAAGCGAGTTTTAAAATCCTACATAATTATTCCATTTCAGCTATCGCTCTAGAATGTATGCAGTGCGATAAAAATGCTGCCTGGTACTCGGAAGAGGAGCATGAGCGACATATTGAGCTTTGCCAAAATGGTTTGGTACCACCGACGTTGTGTAGAAACCATTCACACACGCACTGCATAGTCAGCTGGTACAGAAGTGGAGACAGTAAAGGTAAGTGAAAAGGATTAACACTTAAATTCTTTTACATGCTGGCTTTCTGCTGCCAAATTCTAATAAAAAGTCGACAGCATTTGTAGCGAGGTTTTTTTTAAAAGTGAGAACCAGTGTTCTTGAAGCAGAGTAAGCAAAGTTTGAAGCAAGTTTTGCATTTCATTATTTGCCTTTGAAAATTGGGCGCAAAACGCTCATAATAGTCATAAAGTCGTGCTGGAGTTAATCTCGAAGATATAATCAAGCACAGTACCTGAAATCCTAGGGATTCCACTTTGATGTCGATTCCTATAAACATAAAGTCAAGCATCAGTGAAATTCTGATCTATCATTTTTTGAGCCTTTGAGAATTGTGACTGTTTGGTAACATTTAATATTATCCGCTGAAATTCGAGACCCTTTGCTTCGACTATAGAAATTATACCATGATTTGATTCAGAAGTCAGAGTTCCAATTCGGAGTAGATACGAACAGTTTTCGTTCATAAGAGAGCCCTTTGAAAGCACGGGCTCACATTGACTTATCAAGTGACAATCCCGTCATAAATCATTAATTAGCATATCAGTTGGCTGACATCCAAAGCGGCATCTTTCACTCTAGAATAAGCAATGTCCCTGCCCCAAATTCGGAATCATTTGTTAGCGGTCGGCATTCTATGTGTCGTCACCCGCTGGAGCGCTTATGGGGTTCATTATTTCTCTGGGGATTTGATAGCCTTCTTGCTTTGACAATGAGGAAGCGTTGCATAAAAAAGAAAGGCACGATATAATCTAAAACCTAAGAATTCTCCAGTCTAATTTTTTCTCATCGGTTTTTAGAAGCGTGGAAAGTTTAAACAAGAGATTATTCTTTTCTATTAATCACTTGCATAGTGACTTCTTGGATCGTCATTAACAAAAAACCAGTTACATCTCTCATAAATGGATATAGCTCTGCATCTTGCCCTTACCCGTATGTGGAATAATTGCAATTTGAATTAGAAGTAGACGAGGTATTGAGGTGCTATGGTCATGATAATATCAGTCTCAGAGGACGACGTCCAACTAATACTATATATTCGGTTTCCACTTGGAAAGGTTGCCTTAAATGAGACGTTGGGTTTTTTTCGCGAATTATAAGCGGTTTTGTACATATGTGTCGTCACCCGGAGCGCTTATATGACACCTGATTTTCTAGAGAACTGCGATGTCTGAAAAATGAAGAAAGATCTTATACAAAGGAGAGAACTACTTTATGAATCACAGCCCTAGATTCTTCCAGTTTTTTTGCCAGAGTATTCTTGTCACAAATTTATAGTAAAGATCACAAAGCAGATCATTTGCTCTTATCACTACAGTTGGCGGCGTGATCGTTCGAGTGTCATTCACAAAGAAACCAATTACCTATATCTCTCATAAGTGAAGTATGCTCTGCGTCTTTCTCATAGCCGTGCGTAGCATAATTGCAGTCTAAATTAGCAGCAGCTAATAGACAAAGATCCTCTCAACGAAGCGCGACAATATGGCTCTGGGAAAATCAGACTTATGAGGAAAGGATACCAACATTAGACGGCGATTGAACATGGGATGCATATCTGTAAACGCGCCTTCAAACGCTGATTCCACATCTGCTTTCCTTCGCGGAACGATTCTCCGAAAGAAGTCATGAGCTTTGAATGTCCAAACTTTTTAAGGTCAAAGTGACCTAAAATTGGAGAAAAGCTGTACAAAAACAGCGAAAAATGAGAAATCAGTTTTGTTTCGAGTATATTGTTTGCAAGGAAGAGACAAAGCAGATGGAAATCGCATAGGTATTGTTCTAGAGTTTTTCGTTAATTTTGAGTCAATAAATGCTTGGCAAATCTGGACAGTCAAATGCTCATAAATTTCTTCGGAGAGTCGTTCCGCAGAAGCAGATTTGGAATGCAGATTTGGAATCAGCTTTCAAAGGTCATCTACTATTATGCATTTCATTTTCAATCGCCGACTAATGCTGGTATTCTTTCCTTAGAAACCATTCTAATGGATCCAGTCCGGCAGGCTAAGTTTCTAGATGGGAAATATGTTCTAACTAGGGTTTTGCCTTAACAGTAACCAAATTGATTCACTAGTGGCCGGTCCATTCAGTAAGTTGAGGTCATACCTTATTTCTACGTACTCGAAAGGCCTAATTAGTCCGTTCGAAAGGCATACGACTTGGGTAGAAGCTTGGAGTCAAGTTTCTCGGTCACACGTGGTGTAAGCAGCAGCTCTGAAATAAGTAGCCACGTTTTGAGACACTCATAATGAAAAAGAACTTATTTCGATCACTTGCATAAAGCTATTCTAGCCTAAAATTTTAGAGAAAGTGGTCACCGAAAGGAAATGTGGAGGACCAGAAGACATTACCGGGTGCACGCTCTACAACTCTAAAATCAGTAGAAAGGTAACTAGCAAATGCGATTTCCTACAATTATTAGGGGATCCCTTCAGTAGGGAGAGCTTTTGGTCTGCTGTGATGCATTAACATACATCGGCGAAAAACATCCGTTTAGGTCCGTCATCCGCTTTCGAAAGACGAAACCACTAATGTGGTACGCAGAGAAACTTCCACTTTATTCGTTGAGGTCTGTTTGAGGTTTATTTGTCCATATCATTTCGTAAATGAGCTGTTCAGGTATGCAGTGAATCCTGCCCCTATGGAAGCTGCTTGAATTCGTTTTCCGCGAATAGAGCAGCCAGTTTGGCTACGATTTTACTCGTCTATTTGCTGAGACTGTAATGCATCCAACTACTTTGGATCAATTTATATTTTTTGGGTACTTTCCGTTAACCGGATCCATTTTTTCAGCGAATCTCCAGGAAATACCTGCTTTAACTTAGAAGATTATTTGCAGCCCTACCAAAAAAATCAAAAGCAGATCTTTTATTTCACCTACATAAAAATGTAGAAGAGTTTCCAAAGTTTGGGAACTAGGAACCCGCCTAAGGGCGGTAATTTACTTGGTGCGGTTGCCACTCGTGTATTGCGCATGAACTTGATAAATTTGGTTTCTTTTTTGAGGTATTTTCGGCTTAGCGCAAAAATATTTTTCAGACTATATGGAAACCATCTCCCTTCTACGTGTCAGTAGAAAAATTTTCGACTTTTAGTTTAGTCTGACATGTTTTTCTAAAGTCATCTCCGCTGACGTAGATACATAAGCGTTTGAGATGGAACGAAAGCTACCCCTGTTTTTTTGTAAAAGCAAAACGGCCTAAAACTATCACTGAGTATCTTGACGTCTTAGTCAATGATTCGAAATATCTTGCTTGTCAGTTTTCGAAATGCAAACTCACGTCAATCAAGAAGGAACCCTAGTGGCGGCTTAGGGTACCTCTGCAGCTTGTTTGGCCCCTTAGTTGATTGGAAATCCAATCGCAGTGTTTAAGCAAATCTAGTACGTTCCTTGAGAAAAATGACATTTTCATAATTTTTAAAACCATTTTACTTTTGGAATTGAGAGCGGTTTTATCATTGGTTGGTAGATGAATTGAACTTGGTGAAACCTGTGTTAAATATGTGAGCGACATGCCGTTTTTTATTGACACGTGGCAGGGAGTTGGCATTTCTTTTTTGAAGTTAAGACCGCATTTGGTGAAAGAGAAAAAGTAATATCCTTCTTTGGAATAATGGAACCAAATAACGGAAAAGTACCATTTTCTGAACAGCCAGCTTTCAGGGTCTGCAAAATAACGTGTCCATGCTTTTTTCCAATCATTTAGTCATTCGTGTATATATGCTATCATCCACTTAAGAGCTCTTTTCACTGCTTAACCTAACGTGCAGTACATAATGTGACACTTGATGGATAATCAAAACTTCTCTTATGCCTATTCAGCATTATTTCGCTCTATCAGCCTTATTTTTTCTTTGACTTGATAATCTCTCTTTCTCTTATGAGCATCACAGATTAGCTAAAGCATAGAATTTTCTAAAATGCGTAGTAGGCTTTGACTGTTGAGGCCAAGAAGTTTGTGAAGTTCACAGACTCACGATATCAACAGACAGCTTCAGAAAAACTTTATCAAGTATTCCTTCCACATGATTAAATTGTATATAGACAACTCTGACTAAAAGCTGGCACTACTGAAATTCGAGGAGCCTTAGAAACAAGTTCTTTGCGGCAAAGTCATAGCGCTTTTCTTCTTGAAACAATTTCTTTTCACCGGCTGCTCTCTCAAAAAGAATATGTAGGAGTTGATTTGAGACTGCCTTATCTCTGTCCTATTATCCTTCCTCTTGCATTGGAGAAATGGAAGAAAAGGAAGAGATGATAAACGTAGGATATTTGTGACAGCAAACCAACATAAGATAAGTTTTTCTTGGCAAGGCAGCTATATATGCGCATGTACTTGCGATTTATTTTTTTGCAGAGTATTTCCAGAAAGGCGGCCTGTCACATCGCGCTCTAGCAATTTTTCCTGGAGATTTATAATTTTTATCAAGCGTAATTGTTATACGATATTCCGCGTTTCATAATGCATGAAACGTAATATTGCCAGAAAGCGGGTATTAATGGCGAATCATTATTTTTCCTTCTTGTATTTCTTTCATTTACAGATTTTGCGTTTTGTATAATTTAATTCCTTGCCCATGTTGATAACAAAGATGAGAATGATTTGATGTGCAGCTCCGTACATTTGTTACCCTTGTAATTCAATCATATTTGAAAAAATTCTTTCAAAGTTTGTTCAGATACTCGTTATAGTGCTTATGAAAAACTCAAGAAAAATGCTTATCGCATTTTAATATTTCCACTAGGTCCATATATGCAAGCCGATTATCAAGATCTCATAAATACGTGTGGTGTAGAATGCATATCGTTGATGGGACTTCACGAAACTATACGTTGAGAGATCCAGAATTAGTCAGAAGGTGAAGTTCTTGATAACGAGTTGTGCGAATTGCAGCACTTGAGCAGTCAAGCCTTGACATCACTATACAGGGTGCGAGAGAAAGCCTGCCTTCAGTTTGTCTTTCACTTATTTTATTTATTCATGCACTCATAGGTGCATCGAAAATGCAAAAGAAAATCGAAAACATGTTTGGTTGATAGCAGAAATAGTTCTGCGTACCAAGACTGTAAAAGAAGTATGTCTCTTGTAGAGTAATCAGATCGTGCTCCTTCAACGGAACGTGAGAAGCAATCACCTGAGGTCCTTTTCCCGTATCCAAATGCATTGGTATAGCTGAAAACCACGGCTTGGATAATCAGCTCAACCCAAGCAACGAATTGCAACATCCTGGCGAGTAGACATAAGGGACCTTAGGGCAGAATGGTCACGGAACCTTGATTTCCTCAAACGCTATTTCTCGGAAGAGAGCATGAAAACTGTACTGCAGACTGGGATAACATGTAGTGTGCATCAGCTTTTGAAACATATGATCCTTACATGTAGGCGAGACAACCTTGGTGATTAGATAAAAACGGGTTTGATTTAGAACGGTTTCCTTCCGTGCATTCAAGCGAGTGATAGCAACAGGCAGGATCATGGAGATGGGTCAGGGCCCGGCACGAAGTGGGCATACGGGGTTTTCCAAAACGAATTTCCCTTTAATCCCAATATTTTTTACGAGTACCCGCTTGGGCCCAAAAAGGATGCTTTGTGCTTGTGCAACGAAAGCACCGGCCACACTTAGCCTAAAAGCTCTCACAAGCGCCAAAAATGCTCAAATTCCTCTTATTACTCCTCACCTGTACCAAGATAGAAAACAGGAAGAAGAATAAGTAAGAAAATTGATGGAAGAATGAAGAAATATCAAAGTAACGGGTAGGAGAACGAAAGCCGCCAGTTTGAGACGTCTTTCGCGGCCAACTGGTCTTTTCGCAGGGTTGTTGCATTTCGTTCCAGGACCAGCAGTTCGCGGAGGCGGCTCAAACTGGCGGCTTTCGTTCCCCTACCCAAAGTAACGCAGTCATAGGACTGCGAGACGCCATACCCGCACATATCGATTGACTGGGGCGCGCTTTCCATCTTAGAAAGCTATGCTGGTGATGCGATTTTGGGCTCTAACAAAGACAAGAGGAGGAGTTTTGGAACCAAAATCTCACTATGTAGTAGACTTTAGGTGTACAACGGATTTATGTAAAAGTTTTGAAAAACTTGTGTGAATTGAAAGTTTTGCCTACCTCATGTGGGCTTAGGTGGGCAATTGCCCACCTAATTTGGAAAATAGTTGGGCACGCTCTTCATTCACATAAGTTTTTCAAATTTTTCGCATTGTTCCTTAGTCCTATTGCGCATATACACACCAAGTCTCGCGCGATTTCGTCTCCTCTGCGCTGCAAACGAGCCATTTTTCCATTTTCTTGACAGTGGGAAATTTTCAGAAAAAAGCTTGCCACAACCTTCATTCACATAATTTTTCAATGAAACTTCTAAGATAAGCCCTGCAGGCCGTGTTCATGTACCTACCAAATCTCATACCGTATGGTCATCTGTGCGCTGCAAACGAGCCTTGAATTCACATCTTCATTTACCAGTTTTGCGAAATTTTTGGAAAAAATGCTTATTACACCTCCCATTAAGTTTTTCGTATTATTTCATACTTTGTTTCTACTAGCCTCTCTTCTTTAGCTTTAGCGTAATTTGGTGCTATATCGTTACGCCTGCATTGAGAACTGATCATGTAATCATGCTGTTCAACGGCATTGCTTATGCGAAGTCGCGCACGCGGCAATTAGCGCCGGCGCGGCGTAGCGAGCGCGACTCTGCTATGCGTTGAGGCTAATGAAAACTATTCCCAATGAGTTATATGTAAAGGTAATAAGCATGATTCGACCTTCTTTTGCTTGCACTTGGAATCTTCTTCCGGGGCTCCGCGCCGGACCCCGCAAAAACGATTTCTTCCTTGCTTTTTCCACCAAAAACGATTTCCAGCTTGTCATTTTCCCACCTAGTGCCGGGTCCATCTGATGGGCCGTAGCATCTGAGGGCGATTTTGGGCCGTGACAGTGGCGTAACGAGGGAGAAGGAGGGCGCCCCCCCTCGAGAATGGGTCGCGAAATTTTTGAAAGTTATTTAAATGTGTTATAAAAATGTGCAGAGGACTTGTTTTTACTTGTAAATAATTAAAATAATTTTTAATTCAAAAATTCAAATTAGCCTTGTAAAAAAATTTTTTCGGGGGCGTGGCGCCAGCACGCCCCCTTTTTTGAAATTTTGGGCTCAGGGGCCCGGAAATTTAGGAAATATCCCAAAAAATTTTCCGGAGTGCGTGGCTGACGCCACGCTTCATTAGGGAAAATTTTTTATCCCCCCCCCCCACGAACTGAAATCCCGAGTACGCCACTGGGCCATGACTATACCATCTTATCACATCAGTGATTGCAAATTCTCTCTAAACAATGAAAATTATGTCTCAGACGGATAAATAAGGGCAAACTGTGACTCAAAATTCCAATTTTCAGAAAATAATGGAATGAACATTAGCCTTCGTCTCCATCATAATCTGGGGATCAATGGACGTTAGGTTACACTTACAGTGAGTTTCTGTGCCAGGTTTTTTGAGACGACTAGCCAGTTTTGGGAAATGATAGGTGTTCGTTGGAAAGAAATCACATCACGTCCATTGATATTTTTCATTCTGCACGAGAAAGTCCTGCTGTAGGGAAAATGGGCATTAGACAAGGCTGCTTCATTGGGCTGCGGTGACGAAAACCCGCATATTTAGCCTGCCTTGCAAGACAAAGGCCCGTAGTAAACCCCCATCAGGGCATCTCTCTTGAGGCGGACCGG